GGAGATCTGTGTGCCATGCTGCAGCGGCTCTGGTACCTCTCCATGAGATCGTTACACCGCACACCTGACACAGCACACCAGAGTGGGGGTGACGAGCCTTTGTACACCCCGAGTCAGCAAGTAACCCTGGAGGAAATGCTGGCAAAACCATTTTCCAAAGACAGTGTGTGTGTGTGGCAGATGCAACTACAGTCGGGTGCAGCCCCTCCAGACTCTCACAGAAGATTGTGCCCCTAAGTTCAAGCTTCGTCCTCACTCAAGTTCTCAAAGACTCATCTAACGAGACATAGATGTACTTTGTCAGCTTGGCGAACAGGTTCAGTTATGTGGCCTCCAACCAACATGCAGTAACTCACCGGACAAGGGCAGTTCACAATTGTCCAAAACTTCTGATTTGCCCTCGCTGTGACTATAAAATAGGTAGAATCGATTTCAAAGATACGTAGAGCAGGGTTGGGGATGTAGCTCAGCGGCACAGTGCCTGACTGGCAAGCACAAGGTCCTGGGTTTGATCCCTGGTACCAAAAAACAAAGATTCCTAAAAATATGTTGAGCTACATGTTAACCCACGGCAGATCAATTGCTCTGTATGCAACGATGCAGCTTCTAAGACGCGTAACCTCTGGTACAGACACAGATCTAAGCACCCTACTTGTCCTACTGAAACAATGGATGTCTCAGAAGTGAAATGGAAGAAAACCAACGAGCTAGAGGTTGACATACCTGATAACAGTAATACCAAAATGAAAAAACAAACATAATGGACTAAAACAAAGGAGAATGCGGCTGGAAAAAGAAACGAGCAGCCTGTAAAAGTAGAGAAGAATCGATGCTCAAGAGAAAAAGCCTGTTTCAATGTCTCAGCGATCCAGGTGACCAGAATTTGAAAATGTGCAACAAAGCTGGGCATGGTGACGCACACCTGTAATCCCAGCACTCGGGAGGCTGAGGCAGGAGGATCGCTGTGAGTTCGAGACCAGCCTAGGCTACATGGTGAGTTCCAGGTCAGTCTCAACTACATAGTGAGACCCTGCCTCAAAACCCCCCCCCAAAAAAAAACAAGAGAGAGAGAGAGAGAGAGAAAAGAAAAGAAAGAAAATGTGCAACAGAGATAGATGTACGTACGGGAAATAATTCAGGAAAACCCTGTAAAACCAAGAATAGCAAAAGGAAGATGAAAGCTGAAGCCTGTTTCCCGCGTGAGCCTGTGAATGATGAGGAACCCTCAATGAAAAAGAAGGCAGCAGATCTGAAAATGGTCAGGAGGTCCCGAAGTGTACCAGCAAAGTGGAGGAGGAGGAGGA